GAAAGACAGGGGGGGTGGGGGAGAAGGGAGGCAGAGCCGTCAGCGGGGGCTGCCGGGCGGCGGGGGCACCCCAGGCCCGGGGAGCACTTGCCGCTCTGCTCCTGCCCAGGAACTCTGCTCTTTTTTAAAGACTCTTCTCGTAAGAAATCAGCCCCGCTCCCAGGGAAGGGATTACAAGCTCCTTCTCACCACCCTCCTCATGACGAGTACAACAGCCCGCGCTGCTGCAAGCCGTTGCAACAATCATTACAATGAAAGAAAACATTAAATCGGCGACGCAGCCCGATATTCGACGTCCTGCTCCGGCTAGGGAGGAGGCTCCGACGCCGGGGCTGTGGACCCACTGCCCTTGGAGACCAGGGTCGTGGGCAGAGGGACAGGGTGCCCCGGCTCCCCGTCCCTGCCTCCCACCCCCCGGAGCCGCTCGGGGCACAAGCTCTGGCCCGGCAGGGAAGGACGGCGTTTCTCTCTCCAGCCGTCCCATCTTTCAGATTCTCCCCCGATTTCAAGTCTCAGCAGTCCCAGCTTAAATATCTACGTTGAGCTGATCCAGGGATTTAGCAGCTCTTGGCTTCACGGTCATTAAAATAACAGGGCTAGTTAATAAGAGGTGAATGGGGTCTCAATGGAGCGTGAAGCGGGGACTGCAGCTAATCCGCGGGAGCCGGGCGGGCAGACCGTGACCGATGGGCCAGGCCGGGGGGGCCGGGACCGCGGAGAGACCAAAACTCGGGAGCAGCTCCCGCGGAGTAAGGGAGCGTGGAAAGGAAGGGGGGGCAGCCACCGGCCGGCCCATCAGCACAGCGGTTGCTACCTGCTGGCTGGCTCTCTGCATCTCCCAGCCCTCATCCCGCCCGGAGCGGGGCCTCGCAGCCCGGCCGGGGCACTGGGACCGCGTTCCTGCCCCTGGCCCCGGCTGGTTCTTCTCCGACCCGCTCCGGAGGGCGAGACCCGGTTCCCAACGGCGCGGTCCCACCGGCCGGGGGGGGAAACGCGGGATGGGGGCTCGTTTCTGCCGGCCGGGGCACTCGCTGCATGTTATTTCAGCATTTAAAAAGCTGGGGGGTGGGGAAAATATAAAAATTTTAAAAAGTGAAAAAAAAATGCGTCTCCAAATAAATAAAAATAATAAAAAACATACACAAACCCAGGATCTTCGGGAAGGGACAAATCCCGCCCGGCGAGGAGGCAGGAGCTGGAAGCGAGGGGAGAGGGAGGGCAGCGCGACCCGGGGGGCTGCGGAGCTCCGCGCTGCCCCGCGCCGGACCCCCCTTCCCCACTCCCCTTCCCTCCCCGCGCTTCTCACCTCGCAGTCCTCTTAAAAAAAACCCCCCCCCACAGGCGGTAAATCCACGTCGGCGCTGGGGAAGAGGAGCTGCCCCCCGGACGGAGCTCAGTTGGCGGGCATGAAGGCAGCTGACGGACTAAACCTCCGCACTAATGGTCACTCGGGTTTTTTTCCCTGCCCAGACGCCCTTAATGGCAATAGGATTATCATAACTCCTCCCCAGGGATGGCTTGGGAGCCGCGGCCGCCAGCCACTCAGGAGGGAGCGCGCAGCCTCTAAGCCACTCCTTCCGCGCCCGCGGAGGGTGGGGAAGCAGCAGAGAGCCGGAGCCCCCCCTCAGCGCCCCCGGAGAACTCAGGGTGCAGGGGGGCAACCCCAGCCCTCGGGAAAGGGGTCACGCGTGGGCATTCCCCCCGCACCCACGCTGCAAAGAGGCTGCCCCGAGAAGCCCCCCCACGTGTTTAGGTTGCTGGGGTGGGGTGGTTTTTTTTGGTTTGTTTTTATTTGGGGGGGGCAACACCCGACACTGCCCTCCCCCTCTGTGCGCGGAAGGACTTTGCTTGAACCCACGCGGGGAGCCGCGGTGCCGCTGCCCCTACACTCGGCGGCTTCTGGGCGAAAGAAACTCGGGAAAAGTCCTCCCTGCAAAAACCAGAAAATTCGATCGCCAGCCTAAATTCAATTAGCATAATTGTCAAGAGTTTGAATTACTGATTACAACTTGTAAGCTACCAATGTTTAAGGTATAATTTACTTAATTATCCGACAAGATTATTGCAGTTGTGTTGAATCCCTGGTAGGTAAAGCAGCACTGATTCAGCGCCTCCGATTCGAGGCTCTGAGAATTGTGGCACCGGTTCCTCGCATCATTTTTTATTTATTCTCCCACCCCCCACCCCCTCACCCATTGTTTTAAACGAAAATCCCGCCTGTCTCGTCTTTTCGCTCAAACCCGGGGCCGGGGCAGCAGGTGGGAGGTGAGACAGGCATTTTCGGACGCCGTGAGCACACTTTCATGTGAGCTTAGAAAATCCTTCCCTACTAAATTGCCACCTTTCTGCAGCCATTTGATCTATGCAGTTATGTGTGTCAGACGAAATGAACATCGTTTTCAAAAGCAACGATTTCTCCCAGTGTTTTAAGGTGCATCCGGATCACTGCTCGTTTACATGAGAGGAGCAAGTATTTGTTTATTGTGGCAGGGACAAAAGATGACCCTGGACAGTCCTGCTGCTGAGACCTCGGCTATCAGTGCCCGGGGACCAGCAGCCTCACAGCTGTTATTAAAGGCCCGAGCTAGACCCACGTCTCCAAATTTAAACCAGTTTATACTTCCCTCACTTTTGTTTTTTTCCCCTAAAGATGGGGAAAGAAAAAAAACCCCAATAATAATAATAATAAAGCCAAACAAAAAAACACCACAGAAACCCCCATGCGATTCAACGTGTGATCTAAACATAAAACCGAGGTGCTCAAAGTAACTGTTGGAGGTGTTATCTGCCTTATCTCGCACGCAGGTGCTGATTTGCAGCAGTTGCATTAAGCCCATCAGCAGCAGGGACTCCGCATTATCATTTTTGGTGGAGTCTTTATTTATTTTTTTAAACGACGGTGTTTTTCTTCCAGGGATGTGTCTTTGAAATGCAGTTGGAGACGATTATTAGCGAGTGTGCTTGCGCTGCTCCTGGCGTCATTAAGACTAGGAATCTAAATAATAAAAGACAGGGGGAGCTTAAAGTTCATTTGTATTAAAGGGACAAGATGGATTTAGAAAGAAACGAGGAAGGGAACCGTCGGAGCTTCCCAGGTTTGGGATTTGTTCGTCTTCCTTCCAGAGAACCTGTATTGCAGCAACGTTAGTAATTTTTATCATGAACTCAGAAGTCAGATTTTCTATCTGCTCGAAGTGTCACACCGAGAGGCGACCGTCATTTTCTCATTTTTTAGAACTGTAGAGGTTTGAACACCTTCATTTTATTTCTTTTGGTGACCAAAATTACGAATAATTCAGCTTCTTATTATTTGCTGTGTGTATGTAAATTGTATTTATAAATAGCGGCATAGAAGAGGATGAGGGATTTATTAAAAATTGCCTAAACAAGGCGAGCAAAATAAGTACTTGGCTTCCTAGAAAACAAACCGAGAAAGCAGAGAAAAAAGGCTAAATACGGGGGAGTTTGGGACAAACTTTCCCGCACATCCACTTGCTCCTCGGTCTCTGCCAAGGACAGGCACAGGGGTCCGGCCTCCCCGGGGAGCAAAGAGCAGGCAGGGCAAGGCAGGGGAGGCTCTGCCTGCCCCCCTGCAGGGGCGGGACCGGGTCCCTCCGCGCAGGTGATGCCGCCCCCGGGACAGAGCGGGGCTCCTGCAGGGCAGGATGCTTTGATTAAGCAAACGGCTTCACGTCTGGGCAGCTGGGAGGCTCGGGCCTTTTATTTTATTTTATTTTATTTTTTTGGGGGGGGGTGGGTGATGGGATATAAGGCTGTTTTTGGGACTCCCCCTCTCGAAGCCTGCCGATCCCGTCCGCTTTTGCGCAACCCGGGGGCCCACCTGCAAAGCCCCCCCGCGGCTGTGCCCTCCCATGCCCGGCCAAACTCTCCCTTTCCAGGGAACTCCCGGGCACAGAAAGGCGCGGGCAGCCAGGGCTGCTGGAAGGACATGGTACCTCCCTGGACACTCCCTTTGAGACACGGGTCAAAGCTGTGCAGGAATCGAGGAGCAGCCAGGGAGGCTCCTGACAGGTGGCAGGTTTATTTACTTACTATTAAAAAAAAAATTAAAATGCTCTTATTTTAGGGATATCCCCTGCTTCCAAGGAGAAGTTGGTTTATTGCTTCCGGGGGGCTTAGTTCCCCGCACACCTCTCCTTATGAGGATCCAGGTTCCCACTGGGGACCATAAAGCAGCCCAGGTGTGAACACGCTGTCGGGAGAGGAGCCAAAGCCCACTGCCGAGCCGCTGTCCCAGTCAGTAGTTTTCCTATTTGGCAGCAATTAAAAGGGAGCGTGGGGATGCTAATTAGTTACATCCCTCTTCCTCTAAAAATTATTTAAACATGCATGTATCTGTATCATTAATGAGACTGCAGCAACCTGTCCGGATTGTCGCCTGCAGAGCTTTACAAAGGCAGCTACTGCCCCGCGGCCCCGGGAGACTTTCGGTGTCACTTCCACACCGAGTCGGTCCGCGGGGAGGGGCAGAAAGCGGGGTGTGTGTGTGTGTGTGTGTGTGTGTGTGTGTGTGTGGAGCCCTCCCTCGCCCCACGCAGCGGAGCCCACCCGGGCTGCTAAAGCCCGGAGCGGCAGGGACCCCCCCCCCAAGCCCCAAGCCGGGGG